AAGCGAAAAGTTTCGGAGGACAAGGGCGACAAGTCTGTCCGGGACCTGACGTACCTGCTCTTCGAGACGGCACTGTTGACCTCTGGGTTCGCGCTGGACGAGCCGACATCCTTCGCCAAGCGCATCCACCGCATGATTTCGTGAGTGGTCCTTTGTGGCGCTGCGTTGCTTTATCCTAACCGAATGTGACAGTCTGGGCCTGGACGTGGACGAGGACGAGGAAGAGGCTGCCGCTGCCGACGAAGACGACGCCCCGCCGCCACTGGAGGGCGCGTCGACGTCCGCGATGGAGGAGATTGATTAATCGTGTTATCGTTCGTTTCTAGATCTACTGTATACTTGCATTTCTCTTGTTTTGAATTACTACTCGCACGAACCAAAATAAACCATCGTTTCTGACTCGTTTCTGTGTGAATGATTTCTGATTCTTTTGTCTCTGTGCGCGATGTGAAGGAGGTCGAGACAATGGGGGAGTCAGAAAAGCGTGACAAAAAAGCGTTACATAACGCTTTTCACTCTCACGACCTACCACCACTACAGTCGCGCCCAACCCTTCGCCATTGTTCTACGCGCTATGATCTCCCTTGCCTGATACTATAAAGACCCTTCACGACACCCCCTGTATACTACCACCAAATGCTCGCCGTTGTATCTCCCCAGCCAACCCTGGACTTACCTCCCCAAGCTATTTATTCCATCGTTCGTCCCCCCTCCTCCCCCCCGCTCCCCCCGCTCATTCGCGCCACAGATGACCACCCAACCCCGCGGCGCTTTGATGCCCCAACGACTCCAGTCCCCCATCCTCCTCGACTCCCGACTGCGTTCGGTACGCGTCCCCCCTTCCTCTTTGGCCTGTGGCCACAGCTGATCATTCCTCCGACAGCCCATGTGTAGCAGCACTCCTCTTAGACGCCGCACCGTCCGTCCGCGTCGCCGACGCCATTGCGCACGCGCCGAGTGCCCAATCGAGTCCGCCCTCCACCCCTTCGACCGTCTGCACTGGATATCCGCCATGGATACCCCACCAGACGCGTTCGACCTCGCGGATATTGCAGACCTTTCCCAGCTCGTCGTCGACGAGCCCCCGTCCGCAGTTCCACCAACTGCTGGGCCCATCCGACGTCGAAAGACCTCCCTGCGCTCCAACCCCCTCGCCCCCAGGGGCCACAACGACCTGCATGAAACGACCCCCCATACACCTCTCTCGCATTATAATCCCTCACGCATCACCTTCTGCAACCTTATGCCCATGTTTTCTTGCGATCACACCGCACGGTCCTAATACGCGCGCCCCTTTGCCGTCGACCATTCTACTCTCGCCACCCATAATCACCTCAGCATCGCTTCGTATTTGCAACATATCTTCGCCCATAATCCCGCATCTCGAGTCCTCGCTATCTATGACCCGGCCTCATCGCTCGATGTATTCTCAAGCATTCTCCATCTGCATCGTCATTTATTCCTTGAAACGAACTCCGGAGACGTATATATCTGCATTAGTACCGATTTTTTTTTTGCTTTCTGCACCCATTGTTGTTGCCATCTCAGCATAAGGCTGATGTTCTGACCCTACTAGCATGCAATTCTTAGTTACCTACACTTTGACCGTACCACTGCATATGACGCGATCGACCCATCTCTGTATCACACCAATAAAAGAGCTACATCCTGAACTTTACACCCATGTCCGACGCTCGAGTCATTAATTTCGGCGCCGGCCCTTCCGCGTTGCCAGCGTCGGTTTTGGAGGAAGCCGCCAGGGGTCTCCTCAACTTCAACGGTACGGGTATCGGGATCGCGGAGATATCCCATCGCTCGAAAGAGTTTACCGCGTTTCTTGCGGAGGTGGAGGGCCTCATTCGCAGCCAGTTGGACGTGCCCAAGACGCATAGTATTCTGTTCACCCAGGGCGGAGGCTCTGCTCAGTTCTCTGCAGTCGTGCTCAATCTCCTCGCCCGCCATCATCTCCTCCATCCTGACCTACCCAATGCCGAACGCGTGCTGGACTACGTTATAACTGGTTCTTGGAGTAAAAAAGCCGCTGAAGAAGCGCGCAGGCTGGGCGGGGGCCGCGTGAATGTCGCGGTCGATGCGCGTCCGTACTCGAATGACGCCAAATCCTTTGACAACATCCCTGACCATGGCTCGTTTTCCTTCACCCCCAACCCCGCCCTCATTTACTACTGCGAAAACGAGACGGTCGATGGTGTGGAATTCTCCAATGACGCGTCGTCCCCTGCGTCCTTTCCGTTCCACCTCTTGCCCCAAGGCACGCCCCTCCTGCCACTCGTGGGCGACTACTCGTCGTCGTTCATGTCGCGTCCCATCCCCCGCCTCGCCGATCACGCGATAATCTACGCCGGCGCACAGAAAAACATCGGCCCCGCGGGGCTTACCATCCTCATCGTCCGCAAGGACTGTCTCGTCGATGTTGACGGGGCGGCGAAGCTCGGGGCCGCACCTGTCCCTCTGACGATGGCGTACAAGACCCTCGCAGACAATTCGAGCGTGTACAACACACCTGCGGTGCTCCCGATCTACATCTCAGGACTCGTGCTCAAGCGCTCCGCAGAGCTAGGCGGGGTACAGTACTACGAGGCGCTCAATAAACGCAAGGCGGACAAGTTGTACGCCGCTATCAAAGAGGGGGAGGCCAAGGGCGTGTTTAGAGCCAAGGTAAAGGAGGGCTCGGGCAGCTTGATGAATGTGGTTTTTGACGTGGTCGGTGACGGACTTGAGGCCAAATTCATCTCGGGCGCCGAGGCGTTGGGAATGAAGGCGATCAAAGGCCATCGGTACGTTCAGAATTCCTGAAAACGTACCAGCTAATGCGCCTGTAGATCTGTGGGCGGCATACGCGTTTCGCTTTACAACGCAGTCACTGAAGAACAAACCGACAGTATGGTCGCGTATATGAAGAGTTTCCTGTCGCAGTAGGAGGTGTTGAACATATGTAGGATTCTGCCGAGATAATACGATACACAAGCTTCAAAGGAACATAACATCAGTCCGTAGGACATACTTGGTGCCACGCACGACGGGCGACCCTTCATGCAGCATGCAGTCTCGTCCATGCCTGCAATCGCATGAACATCTCAGCTCGAAAGGCGACTGGCGGCATACCGATGCAGCAGAGCTGTCCCGCGCGTCAGAGGGGCCTTGATAACGTCCTCCGAAGTGGGCTTTGCACTTGGGTAGAACAACGTCTAGTTTGAATGTAAATCTTCAACGCGAGAATGAAAGAAAGTTGCGATACCTCGCCGCCCTCCACGCCGTCTTCATAGCCGGTCAGATAGAGCAACAACGTCCACTCGGATTTTGCGCCAGTCATCGAGTCGCGGCAGTCGTCATCATAGTGCGGGCTGGACATCTAGAATCAAGATGACATGCGACCATAACAAATGAATGGATGCAAACCCAAAGTACTGCAGGGGAGTGTATTTGTAGACGCGTATATTCGAATTGAAAGAGTGTGCTGGACGCGCGGGGCCGACGGCTGCCTTGCCTGTCTTTGCGGGGACGAAGGGGCTGAGATGGGGGGCGAACACAGCGTGCAAGCGTTTAGCAAAGTCGACGGAGGTGATTGAGAATCGGTCTAATTCAGTCAGCAACGGCATAACACGTTCAGCGCGCCTACGGTTGTGTCGCTCAGCCTCTCCGCGTTTCTTGGGTGGTGTGATCTCCATTGGTAATTTATTGATGAAGTTCACGAAGGACTTGCACTCGGCTGGCGAGAGGGCGTGATCGACTGTGATGATCTGGTTTTCACGTAGAACGCGGCATTGGAGTTCGGACTTGGGCGCTATCGCTGGGAATACGATAGGCTTGTCTTTCAGAGACTCTTTCTTGCCCATAAGTTGAAGGTGCGAATGGGGAGGAGGAGGACGATATCAACCGCGGTGGTCACAATGAGGCAGAGGCGGCTATCAATATTGATGGCGGCATAGCCGGGCGGAATCTTGCGATCCCTGCGCAATTTACTTGAAATCGCAACCCGGCTTGCCTCCAGCCTCAATGACCGGGTGACACGATACAGAAATGATAACCTCTCTCCTGGAAGGAATTCCGGGGCAAGACTGCGCCCCTGTCCGTTTTCGTTCGATAACTGAGACGCGGCCGACCAGGCCCCGTGAAGCTCCACCAAAGGCTTGTCCGCCCAAAACATCCAATTTTGACCTCAAAAGTCCAACTTTTTCCCTCCCTCTGGCCCTCAAAAGGCCAAAATCGGACAAGGATGGTCACGTGTACCCCTGAAAAAAATCTCGAATTCTCGTGCCATTGACCCACACCCAAAAAAGGAAACTTCCTACTTACCTAGGAAGGCTAGCACAAAGTACGACTTTCTGTAAACTATATCTTAGTATAATGGCTACACTTCGGTATCCGACCAACCACGACTCACCAAACCCGGCAAAATTCCCAATGAGTAGTAGGCACAAAGTTGCGGCGGCCGAGGCTGATCGAGCCCTCAAAAGTCCAATTGGCGGACAAGGGTTTTCGATTTTTGGCCTCGAAAGTCCAATTTTCGGACAAGGAAATCGCAAATTTTGGCCCTCAAAAGGCCAAATTTCCGGACAAGCCTTTGGTGGAGCTTCACGGGGCCTGGCCGACCACCATCAAAAGTGTGCAACTCACCCCCCTCGACCAATTCTTATCCGTTCAGTCTGAAATTTTGACCTCGGAATGCGGTGACGTGCCTCTATCGTATATACGCTTCAGAAAGTCGCAGTTCGTCTCGGGAGTTCAGTCGTATGATCAGTTGATGGGAATCATCAACGCCGCCGTAATTCATTTTTCTCGCTCATTTCCCATCCAAATCGCTTGGAAGTTGAAGGAGGCTATGGTCCGGATACAGGGCATTGCGCTGCGCGGCCTTTTGGAGGATTCGGCGACGTTTCCAGCCCCGAAGACGCGAAAAAGATCGAAAAACATCAAATTTCATCTGTTAATCATCGGAAACCGTCCAAAATGCTCGCGGAATGCTCCAGAATGCAAAAGAACTGCCCCCGAGAGGTTTGAACTCTCGATCTCACGATGCCTGCACGAGCTAACAGTCGTGCGCCTTAACCAGCTGGGCCAGGGGGCATTATAGGCCTTGTTTTTTGAGCGATTGGGTCCGTCGATCGAATTCTTTCGATAAGCCTTGAGCGATGGGGTCCGTCTCTCTTGTTGAATATTTCCGTGTGTTTTCTTTCTCCGCTATGTTTAAACCACCAGCTCATTTGCTCGATATACAACCATAGAATCAGTAAAGGATGAGGCACCGCAGCTACAGCTGCGGGTTCTCCTGGTGTGAGCGATCTGCAGCGGTATCTTTGTCGTCGTTTCCGCGGCCATTTTCTCCGTCTCGTCGACACTGCTCCGCCGTCCCTCCTGGTCCCTTGTGGCCCTCCTGCGGGGTTTGACGATAGTGGGTCTGATCTTTTTAGTTGAACCCTAGCCCCCCTGATTGTTGAATACTTAGCTGATGTCCGTTACGAGCTGCATTGTGGGTTTTGCCGTTGTGTTCCCCGTCATCGCAGAATGGTGAGCCCATAAACATAATAAGAGGAGCATCCAGTGTCCTAATTCTACGGTCAGTACGCGCGGTCAGATATTATGCTCCAGTAAGGAACGCGCGCTGCGCCTCTTTGTCTGTGGAGATTCATCGCGTCACCTTTCGGCGGCCCAGTGCGACGCGCGTTGGCGACTCTCTGGGAGTACGTGGTTCTCAGCGCGCGGATGCATGCAAACAACCCTACGCTCCAAGCGCGGCGACGGGCGACGCAGGGCCTCCCACCCGACGACCCCGACGACCCCCCGAGAATGAGGACGCCGCATTCGCGCGCAACATCGTCGGTTTCGAATGCTTTGGAGTCGTCGGGGCGGAGGGCTTGTGCGAGGAGACGCAGGGGGAATGGGTAGGCCCATTGCTCCAGCGATTATGCTGTCGTTAACACCCTCCCAGAAAGCGCAGACGCGCGCTCACCTCCAGTACCCAGTCCAGACCTTCCCCGTGCATTGGAAGACCTCTCCGACGTCCGATCATCCACTGGACTCGTTGGATTGGACAAGAACCTCAACAATAACACGGGTATACTTTTCTTTTGAAGGTTCACGGATAAAATGCACACTCACTGTCCAGAGGATGCAAAGGAACCCGAAGAAACAGCCAAGGACATTTCTAGACGCAAATGACAGAGTAGTAGATGCAGCAGTATTCGAGTCCAAAAAGTGAGAGTTGCAGTTGCGATCTTAAGACTGAGTGCACAGAGGTAGAGCAAACGACGCAGAATTGGACGCGTTGCAGCGGGACTGTAATGTAACTGTCGCTCTTCGGACGACTCGGAAGTCCGTGGCAGGTCCAAGCTGTTTCAAAACAGAGATCTATGATTCGGAGTCATCCTGCGGGCTGAAAGGACCGTATGTAGTTCGTTTAAGGAATACATGGCAACATCAGAGCGTGGGAGGCGGCAATTTGACATCATTCACGTCAAAATTCAGCAGCCTGTCCTATTGCGGACTGCCAGGACAAGACCAGACCTTCTCTGTATACCCTAGACATTCACGACTCACGACCTGTATCATGGCCACTGCTCGGTGGGAGCCCACCTCCGTCAAGGTAAGCTATTATCCCGAGACCACACCGCTGTCATTCATCCACTCCAAGGCTTTGCTTCGACTAACCAGCCAGCGTTTGGGCCAACTTCAAGAGAAGAAGGACTCCAAGGCATCCATAACACGCCGAGACATTGCAACTTTGCTGCAGCAAGGCAACGTTGGCCTCGCTCGCGCCAAAGCACAAAATCTAATTCAGGAAGATGGTAGTACTTTATCTTTCTCGTCGTACGCAACGCTCACCCAGGGATTCAAGTGACTGGGGATATGCTGGAGATACTGGAGATGCATATTGGCGTACTGCTGGAACATTTCGCTGAAATTGACCAGCAGTACGTGAATAGCCCGGTGGTGCTCGAGGCCGCCTCCAGCATAATCTACGCGGGGGCGACTCCAGAGTCTAAAGGTACCCGCGCCTTACTCGGCGCCATTCGGTTCCACTGACACTCCGGCTAGAACTTCAAACCGTCCGCGACCTTTTGATTCAAAGGCTGGGAGGAGACTTTGCGCGGTCCGCTGTGTCTAATCGTGATCATCACGTATCCGCTCGTGTCAGTAAACATGAGGTTCAGGGTGTATAAACTCACAGTCTCCTCAGATTATCCACGCCCTTTCGGCCCCTGCACCCAGTGCAGCCAACTTGGATATGTTTCTGCTGAATATTGCGAAAATGTACGGCGTACAGTGGATGCCCGAGCCTCGACGGCAAGACATGTGCGTTGTCCGCCTGATCGCTGTCCCATCCGTTAAAACTGGTCCCCAGTTTAATTCCTCTCTCCGAACTTCTCGATCCAGAGTCATCCCCGGCCGTCGATATGTATAGGTTGCGCAAACTGTGTTCGCGCGGTATGAACTGTGCCACGCCCCGGATCATGCACTCACGCCCACCCAGGAATCCCTGACGAACCGGCCTGGCTGCGGGCGCGTGTATGGAAGTAAGCCTACTCCCGACACTCCGTTCTTCTCTCAACTCTTGCAGATTATTTTTCGGTACTCTCCCGGTCCTGAAGGCAACGTGGGCGCGTGAAGCTCGACAGCAACGCGATAGCTATTATGTACGTGTTTTCCCTCCCTCTTACAAACCGACAATTTGATTCAGATATGTAGGATCTTGTCCAACGGTTACTCAAACCGTTCTCCGATCTGCCCCCTCCTACCACTCCGTTGGCCCAACTCGATGCCTCGCTGTTCGCTGTTTCCAAGGACCTTTCTCGCATTCCCGTCGGTCTGTTCGATGGTCTCAGTGACGAACCGGAGCACGCACAGTTGTGCCCGCTGAATGAGGATGCGCCGGAAGAAATAAAGATACCCTACGCCAACAACCTGGATATACGACTCAAAGTCATCCAGGACCGCGATTCCTCACGATCCTCGTCTCCCATCCCCGAGATCCGTCTAGAAGCAGATAGTGGCGGCACACCTGAGATTTCGGTGTCTGCACCCGAGACGCTCTCGAGCCGCCGGAATACTGCTCCGAAAACGCTGGTTACCGCGCAATCCGCGCCGTCTTACAGTACTGGGGACGCGCATCCAAAACATCTATCTGCACTGTTTCGCATACTGTATCTGCACTCCGTGATCAATCCAGGAAATCATTCACCTCATATTCCGGCGTTACTGGTCCCGCTATATTCTGTCCTCAGCCAAGAAATCGAAACTGCAGACCTCTCGCATGTCGAAGGTACGTCACGACAGTATGTACCGGTTATCGCTCTTGACCTTGCGCAGCGGACACGTTTTGGCTATTTGAGGCAATGATCGGCGAATTCTCAGAGCTGGAGGACGAGGAAGGAGGGACTATCTGGATGAGAAAGTTTGGAAATCGGGTTGTTTGGGCCGACCCCGAACTTGCCGATATCCTGGTATGTCCTTGAATGGCTGGCGTCTCCAGATAGCTGACCTACCGTCCAGCATGCCAAGGGTTTGGACCCTGGTCTCCCTCATTACTCTTAGTGGGTTTGTCGCCTTCGTGACCTCGTATCTTGTGACTTAAAAGCGTGCACAGCCGTTGGCTTGCTCCCCTCCTCACCCAGACCTTACCCTTGCCTTGTGTTCTCGTCATTTGGGACGCTCTCTTCTCTTGCCCGATGCGAGAACGAGACAAAAGCCCTAAACTTGAATATCTCCTCGACGTCTGCGCTGCGATGCTCATCCGTGCACGTGCAGCTCTTTTCCGGTTAGTCAGTTGATTTGTCGACCTGTCTGCTTTATATTCATAACGCATAGACTAGGGAAAGGCGGTCCAAAATCACCGAGTTTGTGGTCTGACGAGAACACCAGTGTCCCTCCTCCGTCACCGTTGCGCGCTTGGGAGTTTGGCGACGCCTTCGTCGAAGGAATGACGTTGCTTCAGCTCTATCCCATCGAAGCGGCAGGTGGTATCGACAGGTTACTTCAAACTGCTTCTGACCTCACCAATCGACGAGAAGAAGAAGCGAAAATACCCAAGACCGATAATCTAACGCTTGGCGAACGTTTGAAAACTACAATGTGGAGGGGCTTCACAAATCAAATGCCTTCCCCAGATGCTTCCCCGCCAGAGTCAGAGGACCAGCAGGATGATGAGGATGACCAGAGCGAGGTAGGAGACACCGAGGCCGCCACGGGTCTCACGGCTCGCCTCGCCACCACGGTATGGAGGGGCATAACAAACAAATCCTCGATGGAACCACCTCCAACGCCCATCAGTCCCAGCACCCCGATGATGCCTCCCTCCCCTATACGCTCGCCGTGGCCGTCCAGTAAAGAGGAGGCGCCTGAACTCGGGCCGGAGGTTCCAGCAGCAGCAACAATCTGGAATTATGCTGAAAAGCTGAAGGATTCCGATGCCGCCGCCACTCTCGCCAAGGTTAGCAGCAACTGGCGAGCGAAGGCGTTGGGCTCGTGGGCCGCTGCTCGTGGGACACCTAGTCCCCAGGGCTCACCGCAACTACTCCCAAACGATCAAGACGAAGGTAGGTTCACGCACCGTCCAGATGACGGACGGCCAGGGCACTCCTCCATGCCCACGATGCGTCGCCCCGAGATCTATTCTCCTCCGTCGCGCCCTGCCTTCTTCCGCCCGCCGCGAGATAGTATCATTGGACCTTCCCCTTCCCAACAACCCTCCTCGCCTCCCAAAAGTCCGCCATGGTCTCCACAATCGGAAGGCGGGTTCCTGAGCCGAACTAGAAACTTGCAGGATTCGTTGGCTGCGCTGACGGGTCGGTCGCAGAGTCCTCCACCTGCAGCTCCCAAGGCCGGGCCCCGCCCCCTGCTCCTTGGATCTGCATCAATCATCACACCCCGAAGTCGACCGAATTCATCAGAAGCTGGTCAATGGCAGCATGTGCCCCGAGGCCACTTGCACAGAGAGTCGCAGTCCTCTGCTTCATCTTTGTCACCTCTGGACGTTGGCCGAGGATGGAAGCCCAGTAAATCAGAGCTCATTCCCGACGTGATTCCCAGCCGGCGGGTCGCTCTAAATCGTCGATCGGTTTCCCCAATGGC